TGTGTACATTCCTCCTGACGCGCGTGTGAGCGTGGTGCTAGAACTGCTGGCCGATCAGATCACACACACAGAGCAGCGTTATCCGGACTCTTTCATTATCGTTCTCTGTGATTTTAATAAAGCTAATCTCACCCGTGAACTGCCTAAATATAGCCAGCACATCACATGCCCCACCAGAGACAGCAATATACTGGACCACTGCTACACTGTTTTAAAGGATGCATACCACTCTGTCCCCCGAGCAGCACTGGGACTCTCTGATCACTGTTTAGTTCATCTTCTACCAGCCTACAGGCAGAAACTCAAATCTGTTAAGCCTGTAGTAAAAACTGTAAAGACATGGACTATTGAAGCAGAGCAGGATTTACAGGCCTGCTTTGAACTTACTGATTGGAGTGTTTTTGAGGCTGCAGCTACTGATCTGGATGACCTGTTGCTTTAACGTCTGTGGTGATGAAGTAATTTGAGAGACTGCTGTTGGCCCACCTGAAGGACATTATTGGAACCTTGCTGGACCCCCTGCAGTTTGCTTACCGAGCAAACAGGTCTGTGGATGATGCAGTCAATATGGGACTGCACTGCACTACATCCTCCAACATCTGGACAAACCTGGGACTTATGCAAGGATCTTGTTTGTGGACTTTAGCTCCGCTTTCAACACCATCATCCCGGGCACCCTTCAGAATAAACTGACCCAGCTCTCTGTGCCCACCTCCATCTGTCAGTGGATCACTAGCTTCCTGACAGACAGGCAGCAGCTAGTGAGGATGGGAAAACTCACATCCAACACCTGCACCGGAGTTCCTCGGCTGCGTTCTCTCCCCACTGCTATTCTCCCTCTACACAAATGACTGCACCTCTAAAGACCCCTCTGTCAAACTCCTGAAGTTTGCAGACGACACTACAGTCATCTGTCTCATCCAGTACGGAGACGAGTCTGCTTACAGACAAGAGGTTGGGCTGTCTGGTGCAGTCACAACAACCTGGAGCTGAACACGCTCAAAACTGTAGAGATGATAGTAGACTTAAGGAGCAACCGCACTGCTCTCCCCAAACTCACCATCATGAACAGCACTGTGGCTGCAGTGGAGTCATTCAGATTCCTGTGAACCACCATCTCACAGGGCCTGAAGTGGGACACTCACATTGACTCCATCGTGAAAAAGGCTCAGCAGAGGTTGTACTTCCTTCGTCAACTGAAAAAGTTCAACCTGCCACAGGTGCAGATGACACAGTTTTACTCAGCTGTTGTTGAGTAGGTTCTGTGCTCCTCTATAACTGTCTGGTTTGGGTCAGCCAGCAAATCAGATATAAGAAGGCTGCAGCGGACTGTTAGGACAGCAGAAAGGATCACTGGTGTCTACCTGCCCAATCTTCAGGACTTGTACAACTCCAGAGTGAAGAAACGGGCAGGTAACATCATCAAAGACCCCTCTCACCCCGGACACAACCTGTTTGCACTTCTCCCCTCAGGCAGACGCTACAGATCTCTATGCACTAGAACAGGGGTGGCGAACGTCGGCCCTAGAGAGCCGCAGCCCTGCAGAGTTTTGCTTCAACCCTAATCAAACACACCTGAACAAGCTATTATTGCCTGTGTTCTGTAATTCATGCCTGTAATTCATTCTCCATCTCTAATTATTGCCTCTCTCTCAAGTACTATGTAAAAACATATGCATATTTTTTATACAGCTGTATATATAGAGTAAATAATGCACAAATCTGTACATACATCTTCTGTTCCAGATTCATACACATTATTATTTATTGTTAAGTATTATATAAATGTTTCTTTTCTCATGTCAGATATGTATGTATATATGTATGTAGCAAGAGCTTCTTAAAAACCACAACAAATTCCTTGTGTGTTTGCGTACACTTGGCGAATAAAGCTGATTCTGATTCTGAAAAAGTCTAAATATATTTTAGCTATAATTGTGCTCCTAGAATCCGTGTTTTCATTTTTATACTGTAGGGGGCCCTAGTACACATCTTCTGTACAGAATTTCCAAAAACAAGAAAAACTTTCTCCAAAGTGAAGAAGCAACCGAAACAACAGATGCTTCCACATGTATTCTAACATAGTTAGAACGGTAGCTAAATTTAGGTATGGGGTGGATTAAGGGATCTAAAATATGGTCATGCAGAATAAGGCATTTATAATGATTTGCTTTATAATTACTAATAAACAGCCAATATGTGTCAGGATCATGGACTGTCTGTGTCATGTTTTGCCCTTGTTTCTGTTCCCTTATTTGGTCATGTTCCTGTCCTCATTTTGTTAATTAGTTTGATTAGTCATCCCATACACCTGTGTTTCCCCAATCATACCCTGTATTTAAGTCCTAGTCTGTGCAGTCTGTCTCGGTCGATTCTACTTATGTTCATGTGTTTCCTGCCGTTCCCAGTGTTGGATGTACCCTGAGTTTCCTTTATTAAAGACTGTTTCGTTTATTCCTAATCTCCATTGTTCCTCGCCATCACAGATTGTGACAATATGCTAGTAATATGCATGCTAATAAGCAAGTAGTTAATTGTGAGAACTGGTCCCTAAACTAAAGTCTTACCATATTCTATATAAAATGAATGGGTGTAGTATGAGTGTAATCCAGACATTCTACATTCGTCATATTGTTATTGTCATGTGACCTACCGGCATCAGTTGCATCACATCACTGCCATCCACAAATCCTTTCTCGTGGCCTCATGGGATAATAAAGTGTTATGTGCACTTCAGAATCTTGTGGGAAATATCAGGTCATCCGGGTACCTAAATATAGTATTTTCTTGTAAAATGTTCATAATCTTTATTCATACTTAGAAACAACTTCACCCATATAGAAGGGAAGTATGCGATTTAGGATGCAGAAAGTCTTAGAAAGGAGACTTCATTTTGTTTTAATGTGCCATTTAGCAGTGGGTCAATTTGAAATGCATTAAAAACCAGTGCAGAAGAAACATATTACCATTATGGCACAACAGACTTTGCAAACGATTGTAAAGAGAGCACTGAAGAAACGATTGGTTAATATGTAGATATTCTGCCCATCCAAAAAGGGAGCAATTTGCATCAGATCATCAGTGTCAAGGACTGGCTGAAACCAGGGGACGATAGGTTGTGTATATTTGCAAATATGATCTTTTAGGTACAGTAAGGATATATATATATATTTTTAAACTGCTGGATTTGTTTTAATCTAGAATGAAACCATTCCAAAAAGTTCAGTATAATAATTTGTAAGTAAAAGGGAAATGTAAACATATTAATGTTATACATTTGATTGATTTTTGTTACCTTATAGTTTATCCCGGCACTGCCACAACACTAAACTCTTCTTGCATAAACATGAGAAAATCTTTTTTATAATGAGCTCACAACAACTAAACCGCATAGTGGCACACTATTACATTTCCTTGAGCTAATTTTACCCACGGTTAAGGCAAAGCTCACCTATATTTAGCTTATCAAACAGATTCCAGGAATATATTTTTAAAGGGAATCTCACAGCAACCTTACAGTCGTTGAGATTTACAGAATGTTTTCCACACTGAGTGCTGGTGGTATATATATATTAAGCACCTACAACTCCTTGACACACACAGTACATGACAGTAATGTGTTGCACTTCTTACCCCAGCACCAGCACTGTGGGAGGGGCCAAGAGTGGGTTATATCTGTCCACTGTTGTGGAAAATAAGTTCCCCAGAACAGGTGCAGTACAGTAACATTTAGACCTGTTCCTGTCAGCCAGCCATATGAACTTTTTGTTGCTCCACAGGTTGATCATTGAGGTCAGGTTGTGGCACTGCTCCAAAGCACTGCATCTCTCTTGTGTTGTGCTGCACATCAAGCACTTTCTCCTGACACTTCAACTAGGCCATAAATCACAAGCTCCATCCTGACACAAAATGCTAAAATTCATATTAAATTGTACACTTTTTTTATACTATTATAAAATTAACCGGAAACACTTTACACTAAGGTCCCATTCGTACAGTGGCTAACAAGAAGCAATATCTTTGCTAATATTAGATAATAAAACATAGTTGTTTATTAATCGTGTTAAATTAACATTAAAATTAATTAATGCTCTTCATTGTTGTTTTAGTATCATTGAAATACTATTTTAGTTTTGATTCAGTTTGAATTTGTTTTTATTTATATGTTTTAATGTAATAAATTTTTAATTTCAGATTTATTTTTTAGTTATTTTAGTACACTAAATGAAAATGAGAAATGTTTCCTTAGAAACTATCTGAAATGAAATAAGCTTAAGATTTTTTAATCACTTATTTTATAATTTTTTATGATCTTAGATTTAGTTATTTTTAATAACCCTGGTTCATTGTTAGCTTATGTTACCTGATGGAAATCGAACGTAATAGCAAAGTATTACCTATTAAATCAAACATAAATTAAACATCAACATTTTAATGTAAATAATAATAATAATAATAATAACAAAAACCATAATACAACTGTTTTCCAAAAAAAGCATGAGAATATTCACTTTATGTCAAATTTGCTATTTCTCACTGAATGATTTCTTCACACAATAAATTGTGATTTATTATAAGGCAGACGGAAACTAAGTGATCCTACCAGAGTTTACTCAGTTATCAATTCAAATTATAAATCCATTAATTCTAATCTTACAGTGAAGAGTTTGCCATAATTCATATTAAATAACTAGTAGCACTTTGCAAGGCTGTAACAACTGCTGAAACTGTTTCTGCAGGGGACATATCTTATTATTAATAGGTTGATAAAAGCTGTTTTGGAACATTGGGTAATGTGGCACAGCTTAATAAACATACAATTCCATTGCTGGGTTAGAATATATAATTATTATTTTTTTAAACCAAGGATCTCTTTCATTCCTCCAAACTGTTTGTACCAAAGGATAATGCCATTAAAGATGGGTGCATCTGTTTTTATTAAGGGGAAAATTGCTACAAATACACTAAGTATCTTATTAAACCTCAGTCAGTATTACAGCTTCAAAAATGCACACCATCATTAACATCAGCATTGTTATTACTGTTATCTCATTATTATTCATAGTCGTGAATGCATAATCCCACTGAGCAAACACCAACGCTGGTCCTGCAGCCACCGGATCACTGGAGGCACCTGAGAGGCTGTGGCGCTCTCTGCCTGTGGCAGCACAAAACAGGTTCTCAGTAAAGTTTCCTGGTCAGCGGGTGCATTTAATATCATCATTCTTGAGTACTGAATCCATTACATGTCCATGAGTATGCCATGTTTCATCCTCAAGCGTCCAGCGTTTACTGTTCCAGTAATAATAAGATGTCACTACAGTTCTGAGCCGCTGTTCTCCATTGAGTCCTTGGCCATTCATTAAGTTTCATATAGACATGAAACTTAATGTGAGCCATCCATTGTTTGTTTATGTTGTTCTGGTGGACAGCCGTTAACCAACACAAGAAATGTTTATCTGTGACAGTATGCATTGATGTTACAATACAAAAAGAGTGAAAAATATTCATTTTAAGGTCATTCTCAAAGGGTTTAGAACTGGAGAGCTGTGTTGTACGATATCAAAAGTTTCACTTAAAAAAAAAAATTACATCATACTATGCTACAGCTGTGCACATGAATATTGTTTGAGCACTATTATTTAGACACTTAAAAAAAACAACATCATTATTGAGTAAAAACATTAGGATACTGGGAAACTCTGTTGTCTTTTTCTACTTTCTACTCTTCGATTTCATCTTAATCTTTCAGAGCAAGACCATAAAATACTGACACCATGTAAAACCTCAAAACAAGCCAATGAAAAACACATTGCCATCAAATACAATAAACACATTTTCAGTAGGCAATTCTTGTTTGGAAACTATTGAAAAATTATTTCTGCTTAGTTTTACTACTTTTGCCATCATGGTTTTGCTAATAACAATACAATATTACCAGTTTCTGAAAATGTTTGATGTTTTTTGAACCTGACCTACCTTTTTTTTCACACAACAAGAACATGACAAATTATCTGCCTCTTGTAAAATACATTTGGCAGTCAGTCACGCTAAATAACTGGAACAAAATTCCTACTCAATCATCAAAAGACATTTGAGTTAATTAAAGTGCAATGTTTTTAACATGCTTCTTAGCAGAAAAGGTGATTGCACCTTCATCCAAATTTCGACATATGCCACAAAAAAATGTGGCAGTCTTGCCATTTTATGTACAATCAAATCAAAAAAAGATGAAAAAAGTGATCACTTATACTATGAATGTATAAGCCTCTTAACAGGCCTCTTAATAAATACCAACAAGGACATTTCAACATTACCCAGAAGGCCTTACACAATTATAAATGGCCCTGTATTCAGTACAAATGTACATTAAAAGACAAATGACATCTAACACTGTGTCCCAATGAGATGTGACAAATTTCCAGAGATGTACTGTAATTTGTCTGCTTAACCTGAAAGCGAAAATGCAAAAACACAAAAGAAAATCAGAACAAATTTGACAATTATTCATGCTCAGAATTACTGTAATAATGAGACGACATCTCTGAGATTGTACTCTGAGTGGCAATGCTCATATAACTTCAAATAAATCAATTAAATCAGAGACAAAAACTCTGATCTGCATGGAAGATTTTGTCATCCCATTAGGACACAGTGTTATTTTTAAAGAAATCAATACAAACTCTACTATGGCTTTTAAGAAAATCATACAGGAAAGATCACTCTAAGTGATTACACATTAAACTTTCTAAATGATTAGAAACTGACAGCAAGATATTTATGGAAGCAAATGACTGTTCACATCACACAAGTTCATAAATGTTCCTTTCTTCCAAGTCACTCATGCTGCAGACCTTTACATAAATCAAACCGATTTAATTCCTGGCCACTGAGTTTCAGATTAGACAATGATTGTGACACGCTGAACCTTGCTAAAATAACAATAATTCACAAAATGGAGATAGATTTTATAGATCTATAAACACAATAGATCTATTGCGACAGATTAAACGAACACTCATCAACACAGAAATGAATCACAAGTTGAAACATCATCTTATTCTAAAAAAAAAAAAAAGTTTGTAACTTGAAAAATTTTTCAACCAGCCCTAATGGTCTTCCACTCTTTTGTCAAGATTGGCTCTAAATATATTAAAACCATTACATCTGGCAGAGTTATCAAATCTATATCAAATGCGTAATGATGCACCAGCATCAAACAAATCTGCCAAACTAAGCGCGCCACAGAAACTCAGAAGCTTGGAGCACATCATTGTAGACCTGTAACATACTCTATGCAGGTACACAAACACAGTTGATTCTAGCTATAGTACACAAGCTCAGTTTCACAAGTTGTATTCCAAAATGTGTCAAACCGCTATTCATAACACAAGTATCTATTCACAGCATTACTGTAAACGCAATATCGCAATATAAATTCTTCTAGAGGCAGTTTTCTTTTGTGTCAAGTATGGTCAAGACGCAACAACAGTTTGACAAGAATCTTGTCTGATAAAAGTCAACATGTTTATAGCTAGCTACTTAAAACACATCCAGTTTAATTCACAATTCCAGTTTAATTTACATTCTGAGTACTGTGGTTTGTTAACGCCACAGTTATTATACTGTAATAACACCAAAGTTCCTGAATACTTCCCAGGAAACATGTTTGGTTTTTCATATTTTAATACTTTGTTTGGTTTTAAATACTTTTAGATAAAGGAAAACAAAGAACATTAACATTGCGCTATGCTTTGGCATTCACATTTGTGTACCTGTGTAGAGTACACTCTAAAAAATGCTGGGTTAAATACAACCCAGTGCTGGGTAAAATAGGGGC